CATCTCATACCCAAATCATTAGTAACAATTGAATGGCAATCGATATGTTTAGGTCCTCAGCAACTACTCTAACGGTGATTCGACGATTGGCCAATAGGTAGTATTTTTTTCACTTCATCAATGTTTTCGTCTGTTGTTGACGTGCTCGGGCGTCCGGCACACTCTTCGTCGTTCACATCTTCTCGGCCCTTTGAGAATATTTTGTACCACCGATTAACTTCGCTTCCAACCAAGGTACCTTAACGATATGCCACAGTCGACATTCGGAATGCGTCCGCGCACTTGATCTTGTTTCTCACACAAAATTTGATACAGATTCTTTGATCCATTTTTTGGAATAGGCAAAAATCGATGACGAGTCAAAACACGTACAAAGCAGCACATTTAACATGGCCGAACTTGTCGATATACGTGAGAGATATAAATAACAACATAACGCCACAAAAAAAGGAAAATCAAATATACGCAACCCTAGGAAATTCTAAATTCGTGATACTTTTTGAACAGACCTAGTATGTCTGCATCTATTTTTTCTGTTGCTACAAATTCTTCTTCTCCCTGTATTTTGTGTAGTAAAACCGCATTTCTGATGAAAAACAAATAATTATGGTGAATGGAAGTTGAATCTATTCCAAAATTTGGTGTTATCACCTCAACCTTTCTTCAGTTTGGCTTGGATATTACTATATCATTAGGTCATAAAAGTATTTCAGTGAACCATTATCTTCTCATTAATATTTCACAGGCTCAATTTGGAATGGAAGTTTGTAAGCAGTGGAAAGCCACTAAAACAGGAGTATACCTGCTCGAAATGTATAAATTTTTTATATTTTCGTAGAGGGTTTAATGATTTACAGTGATTAATGTATACATTGTCTTGCAAATGGTTTTTGGCAAAAACAGTTTCAAAACGGCAACAGAGATTTATTCATACAAAAATGTTATTAAAGCTTTACAGAATCGCTAAATTTTCTAAAAAACTGGAAACATCAATTTCTAATTAAAATTTCAGAAAGAATATAAAAAAAATCAAAGACGATAGTGACACTTCCAACTTAGAAATAAATATATTTAACAAGATGTAGACAATTTTTACATTTTTCGTTTTATATTTTGTAGTAGTACTAGTACACTTTACTATAGAAAAATGTTGGTACATCGCTGTTGGGAAATTTATCACTGAAAATGGATAATAATGATCAACTCAATCAAACAATTGACGTGGTTATACATTTTTAATATATGTTGTAATTCATTTATTATATTAAATTCTGGTATGTCATGCAATTTTGGCAAATTTGCAAATTGTCATTTAACCATGAATTCGGTATACTTTCTGTTGTCCAGTAAGACAAATATACTTTCAATCTGAATGAAAATTCAATGACTAAGTATGTAGACCGATATTTTATTTGAACATTTCAAGAATCGATGTTTGAAAAAGTCCTAATGTTTAACGAAGTTAATAAATTTTAAACAGAAATGTAAAATTGGTACAATCATCGTCAGTATCAATTCTGTCGAAACAATCAACATCTCAATTTCGAGCGTATTGGGTTTCATCAACAATCCCATAGTCAGTTGCGACAAAATCCGCCCTTCTTTGCAGCGTTTAATATACATATAACTACATACAGTGTAGTTAACGCCGCCTGTAGAGATTTTTCTCTAATTGTTGCATCGTGAATTCAGTTTGACAAGTTGCTATCTTAAATTAAAAAGGATATTGTCAAACCTTAATAAATCCACAAGTAGTAGCAAAGCTACAAAAAAGTTTACTACACTGCCTCTAACTATTTTGCGTTTGATTACTGATTTTTAAGGTTTAACCAGCTGTAGCAGGAACATTTAATCAAATCCAAGAATACGAGAGATAGAGGCATCAATTGCTTATATAATCCGAAGCGAATAGGTATAAAAAGCGTCATTGCTACTTAATAAAGGATAGAAAACGATGCAGTTCGCTGCGCGATGAGTAACTGCGCATCACATCGGATTCGCACTGCCTTACTGCGCAGTGGTCTACCTACCACACTTAGGAGTCGCACATTAAGCAAACTTAGGCACTTTATACTCCTACCTCTAATCATCTTTTTCTAATCTTGATCAAATCCTAATGCGACTAAGACAGATGGGTAATCGTTTCATATCCTGGACGTAACGATTACTAAAGCCAATTTTCTGAACAGTGTAGCGACAAATTGTATATCGCGTTAAAATAAATTTAATGTTCTCAATCGCACCGTTGTTATGCGGTCGTGTACCTTGCTATTTCTTACTTTTAACTAATGTATCGAGTTTTATGTCGCAACCAACTGCCGCCATATCCGTTGAGCTAAAACTTCCCAAACTGCCAATAAATTTATAAACGTGTGAAGAATTATAACCACCACTGATGTTTAATACGAGAGAATCATTAGCAAAAATGGATTCTGTAATAATATTTTTCGAATCATTAGTAGATGTCATCAGTGTCATATCAATATTTTAGGGCGGAGAGAAAATGGTTAGCAAACATACTTACAAAGGTTATTCTTCAAATCTGTTATTTAAATGTTTGGTGTGGGGCCAGAAAAGAAATCTTACAAAGTCTATATTAACTAATCTTCGCATTTCCCTAAACAAAAACATCGCACATCCTTAACTATACCCAGGTATAGGTATACCCAGGTTAGATTACTGTTCGCAAATAGTTAAGGATATGGGTTGTTACAGTTTTAGGCAAATGCGAGGTTTAGCTCAGGATAGGAAAGAGTGGAGGTACGTGTCCAACCAGTCTTAGGAGTGATGACCTTATGATGATGATGATGAGAAAGAATAGAACAGAGAACTCTATGGAAGTCAAAAAGAAATAGGTGAGATAGGTTAGTAGGACACCTTCTCAGGCATTAAGGTCTAGTCAGANTGTCATATCAATATTTTAGGGCGGAGAGAAAATGGTTAGCAAACATACTTACAAAGGTTATTCTTCAAATCTGTTATTTAAATGTTTGGTGTGGGGCCAGAAAAGAAATCTTACAAAGTCTATATTAACTAATCTTCGCATTTACCTAAACAAAAACATCGCACATCCTTAACTATACCCAGGTTAGATGACTGTTCGCAAATAGTTAAGGATATGGGTTATTACAGTTTTAGGCAAATGCGAAGTTTAGCTCAGGATAGGAAAGAGTGGAGGTACGTGTCCAACCAGTCTTAGGAGTGATGACCTTATGATGATGATGAGAAAGAATAGGAGAACAGAGAACTCTATGGAAGTCAAAAAGAAATAGGTGAGATAGGTTAGTAGGACACCTTCTCAGGCATTAAGGTCTAGTCAGAGACATATTAGAGGCAGAAACGGGAGTTAGGAGGGGTAGAGGTCGACGTAGACTAGATTATTGTTCGCAAATAGTTAAGGAATGGGAATGTTGTAGTTTTAAGGAAATGCAAAGATTAGATCAGGATAGGAAGGAGTGGAGGTACATGTCCAACCAGTCTTAAGACTGACAACCTTATGATGATGATGAGAAAGAATAGGAGAACAGAGGACTCTATAGAAGTCAAAAAGAAATAGGTGAGATAGGTTAGAAGGACACCTTATCAGGCATGAAAGTCCAGTCAGAGACATATTAGAGGCAGAAACGGGAGTTAGGAGGGGTTGAGGTAGACATGGACTAGATTATTGTTCGCAAATAGTTAAGGATGTGGATTGTTGTAGTTTTAAGGAAATGGAAAGATTAGATCAGGATAGGAAGGAGTGGAGGTGCGTGTCCAACCAGTCTTATAACTGACGGCCTTATGGTGATGAAGATATCTTTATATTCGCTTTTTCCATTACATACCGGTATTTTTGTTTTACTATTATTTATTTTCTTACAGTACTTGTCTGTTAATACTGATGTGTCTATTTTATTTAAGGCTTTATCTGCTACAACATGTGCAAGTCTAAGCAGACAAATCTTTGCTCCTGTAAATGAATCCTTAGAGTTGTTCTGTCTTCAATGCTGTTGATCGCTCTATAGTGGAACTATATTTTTTTCTATTCAACAAATTAGTTAATTCTTATAAGATATACATCACATCTTCGTTTCTTCAGAAAAAGAAATGGGATTATGTATTTTGATAATTCCTTTCGAAAAGTAAGAATATATTTGTCGCTAATGTTATATTCAAATAACTTGCTGACTTCCTATTTATAATAAGTCGACGTCAATTGAAAAGTCATTACTTACTGATTATTTCCTTTTATCATTAGAGAAGTGTGAAATTAGTGCTTATTTCTTTCTTTTAAATAAGTGTTAAAGTTCCTAACGTAAAAGCCACGACTTTGAATAATCATTCATTTTTTATAAATCCGTCGCTCAGTGTAATCCATTTTGTGGTAAGTTCAATAAACCAATGCATAATTATACATAATAAAAGAAAACTGCTCGCTTTCGGAGAAAAAAACAAATTGAAATGTCACGCCTTTGTTACACCAATTTTTGAGATAGAGTTGGCAAATGCATCTGGCTGATGGGATCCATTCAACCATAGAACTACGTGCATATTTTTCCTTAAACTTTCTCTATTTCTTTTGATAATGTTTCTTTGATTGTTGCAAATAACCTGTATCTACAGCTTTTGTTGGCGATGACATAATGCCTATTGCAATGACTTGTTCCAGATATTTACTGGTTGGCTTGTTTTTAATTTTACTAAGAAAGCTACTTGTTGCGCTTTTTATTGTAATCATGTGACGCAATTCGAGCTTTCACAATACGTTTGATGACAAGAGCAGTGTTTTGGTTTTGAACTTTTTCAATTATATGCATATATATACAATGGGTTACATTTATTGTCCTGTTAGTAAGAAAAACAAAAAAAAGGAGAAGGATTGTTTTTAGATTTTATTTCGCGTATTTCTTTACATAATAAAAGAAAATCGTAACATTCGCCACAATGTGCCCTTTGACGGATAACAATAGTACTGTATAACAATAAAAGGGCCAATGGTTGCGATAACAAGGTGTAGAAGTTTAATGATGTCCCTTACTGAATCCGTACTCTTTGCCTTCATGGTGGCCACCTTTCTTTCCATAATCTTCGTGATGTTTGTGATGTTCTTCGTGTCCATGATGTCCCTTGTGTCCCTTGTGGTGTTCGTCGTAGTGTCCTTTCTTGTGATGTCCTTTCTTTCCATGATGGTCTTCGTGGTGTCCGCTTTTGTGACTGCCTCCTTTCTTGTGTCCTCCATGTTTGCTTCCATGATGCGCGTGATAGTCTCCGTGCTTATTGTGCTTGCCATGTTTGTGGTAGTCGTCGTAGAATTTGTGTTCCTTATGGTACTTGTCCTTGTGGGACTTGTGATGGTAACCGGTTGTTTTCTGACCTTTTTTATGTCCCTTCTTCTCTCCGAATTTTCCACCCTTGTGATGTCCACCTTTTTCGTGGTGTTCACCGTGGTGGTGTTCCGAGTGATGGTGTCCCTTTTTGTGTCCACCTTTCTCGCCGTGGTGACCGGCTTCATGTTTCTTGCCATGCTTTCCGTGGGCTGCGTGATCGTGGTGATGACTGCTTTTGTATCCTTTGCTACCTTTTCCACCGTGTTCGGCATGATGGTGGGCGTGATGCTGATGTCCACCACCTGATTCGTGATGGTGACTCGCGGCCGTTTCTAAGTCTGCAACGGGCGCAGATGCGACTGCAGTAATTTCTTCGTTTTCATCTCGCTGGCTGTTGATAACACGCGATGAACACAAATTTACCGCTAAACATAGTCCGAACAGCACCACAAAGGCCCGCATGTTTCGACTGTTGGTACAAAGCAACTGTATTCATGACAACGCAGTTGCTTCTATTTATACCACACAAACTTTCTTCGTCTTACCGAATCCGCGTTTCCGCAAGACTAGTTAAAGTGTTGTAACGATGATGTTATAATATCGCGACATCGGGACTTTAAAAACATAATTGATTGCTGAACTTTTCAAAAACTTAAGAAACACCGTTGTGTCTGAGAAATACGGTGAATCACAATCGCACTTACTTTTTACCATTCAGACAGAAACACAATGAAGAAGACCTAATTTTGTTGATGCCCTAAGGAATATACCTACATACTCTAAAAGTTTTGTTTCAAGTGTACGTCCACAATACGAACGCTTTTTATAAAGTTCTCCTTTCACTATCAAAACATTTGCAGAAGTTATAGCTTCATACCTACTCATGAGAAAGGATTTATCTTAATCTAATCTCTTTACATAAGGGGTTACGCCACTCTAGGATTGGGAAAATCGATTTTGTTTGCTTAAACAATACTTTAGGGTCATAAAAACCATATCCAGTTGGTTCTATAGTGAAAAAAAGAGTAAATGGTTCAATTCCCGATTCTGCCGCAACACCTCAAAGTGTGCGCTCATTGCGATACCGCCTTTACCTGTCGAAACAATAAGTGGCCCTGTTACTTACAGAGCAAAAGGTCTTTTGGGGTTCCTTAAGCATCCGCTAGGGTACGTAATGCTGTAATAAAAACGCCACCTCANTAGAAAACAATCGAACTAATATTATCTCATACCGTCAAGGCAGCGTTGGTAAGAAGAATTGCAAAATTGGTCTCCACGAAAATACCATTGTTTTAAGCCCTGAAGGTTCAAACTGATTATTTATTAGTGAAAGTATTTTTGAAATAAAATTAGTGGTTTCGGAGATTAACTATTACATCCAAATCCCAAACTTAGAAATTTTTGTGTAGATTACATTATATGTACATCCTCATTTGATACTTAAGATGTTGTTTTTATTTTCTGCACCTACCTAAGCACATTTACAATTCATTCTTCAAGTTTGCACCACTAGAATCAGAAAAACATATCTCTTTCTTTCTAACCAATCACGAAATATATCGGTGGGTACATGTGGGTCAGTATTATGAGAAAAATTTAAGACAACGAAAAAGTTCGTCATGACACCGTCCATATGACTAAAAGTACAGTAAAATCGTTGATATCCTTAAATTCATGCAGCAAGGTAGGCGGTTATCTCAGCGGTAAAAAGATCGCCTGCCACACTGCCGACCCGAATTAAATTGTCGATCTTACGATTCGATAAAATAATGATAATTGATCGACCAGCGATACAGGGCTCCGGATGATGTAAATGAATTATCAAAATGAATTTTAGGAATTTGAAAGGAATACCATTATAGGGAATTACATAAAATGTCCTATAATCGATGAATTATTAATATGAGGATCTCTCTATAAGCGACTCGAGTCTCTCGTTCAGAGATGCTAAACAACTTTTTTGACAGTCTCTCTCTCAGTGGCAGCAGAGAGACTCGATGAGAGACGGAGACTCGAGTCTCGCTTTCAGAGACTCTGAGAGACTGAACATTTTTATCTCTGGATACCCCTAATTATTAATCACACTTAACATTATTGTTAAATTGTTAATGTAGGCCATGTTTGGACTTGTTGCATGCAGTCTACAGTTAAACTGTCGTTTTAGACTCCATAGAAACCCATGATATTATGTGGTAGATATTCACATGCTAGACGGTTAATATTGCTAATGAAAAATCATCTTCATTATTGTTTGAGCAGTCGACGCGACGCCTGACGACGCCTATTATTAAAACGTTACATACGACGTTCAGTTCGTTTATTGCTTCGCGAATAAACTCGTAAACATTTTGACCACCTCAACTGTTCACATGTATAAAACAGTTTTATGTTTCGGATAAGTGCTTGAAGAGATCATGTACAGTTAATTAGGTCTTCCTGCGCTAGAAAGCGAACAAATTTCGTTCGTTGTATGGACAAGTTAATAGGAAATAAAGCTAGTATGTAAGTTGTTATCTCCTCTTAATTAGAACCTCTTATGGGTAACAAAGGGCGTCTTAGTTTGTTGCACGATGGGCCTCGAGGTAGTAAAACTGCTTACACTGTGACTGCTGATATTGCATCGAACTTGTTTACTCCGACAGCTAATTGCAAGCAGTTTCATGACACTTAATAGGTGAGTAAATCGACTTGGTTTTCGACCTTGGCCTGCAAATGTGTACCTATACGTAAAATTACTCTTCGAAAAATTATCTAGTTCCTATAATTAGATACTGAATGTGCTTTAGATTTAACAACAAAATATTTACATTGAATCTAGGAAAAAGGTCCTCCGAAAAGAAATCCCTTCGGAAGAAAATTCCCAAAAAATTATTTTAAACTAGACCTTAACTATAAGTTTTACTGCTATTTAATGATGAAATATCGTAATTCGCCCGATTATTAACCCCCAAAGAAAAACCCCCTGCCCTACAAATAGATTAAAGAATTTCTTGGCATATTTGATAAAATTTTTTAATACGGGCCTGAGATTTCTCAGGATAAACTCTCCTGTCAATCAAATTTTAGAAGTACCTTCGGTGAAATTATGACGTTGGATTTAAAAAATACTCTGTATCCCTTGCGTGTCCATAGATAAAATGCCCGAAGTGGCTCTTGTAGCTTTAAATTTAATTTGTTGAGAATTATAAAATCTCGTTTAAAATAATTTTCCAGATTTACTATCAAGGAGGCATTTTTTCCGAGGCATTTTTTTCGAGGAGGAATTTTTTCCGGGGCATGTTCTCTATGATTTTTTCCTGGTTGATTTATTTCCATAAACTGTTTAATACATCAATATTTTCATTGAATTTGTAAATCTCTATACCTACTTAGATGAAAGAAAGAATACAATGGAGAAGTTTCGCCAAAATCATGTTGTATTCGGCAATATTGCTTCGTTTTGTAATTTTATTAATTGAAATTACTTTTAATTGATGAAAATTCATTTTAAAAATAAATCACTTGTAATTTCCACAATTTTATTTATCAACATGATGATTAAATAACAGCCCTTTTTAGAACGCCTTCTATGGAAGAAATTATAATCATTATAAGGTCATCAGTCCTAGGACTGGTTGGACACAAACCTCCACTCTTTGCTATCCTGAAATAATCTTCGCATTTCCCTAAAACTCTATTCCTATTAACTCCTGTTTCTGGCTCTAATATGTCTCTGACTAGACATGCTTGAGAAAGTGTCTTCCCAACCTACCTCGCCTACTACTTACCTATTGACTAATGACACTGTATGTAGGTAATCTTGCAATTAATCCTGTAACTGTCTATCGCATTGTCACTATTTAAAAAAAATTTCATAAATGTTATTTTGTAAGTAGTCTAACAAATGTTTAAAAGCAATAAAAGCAGAACGATAGTTTTTCTTTTGTAACCGAAACTATTCCATTAGGATGTTTAAAACATTCGTATACAATCACGCGCAGGTTTCATGTTTCGTGGAATAATCGCTTAGAAAGGTTTCATCTTTCGCATTATGTTCCTAACAAAACATCTTCATTAGAACTAAATTGAGTCTAGACTGAAAGTTGACACTATTACTTGCTCTCATTGATGCTTTTCAGTCATTCTTGGAGGTGTTCTATTCTCCGTATATATATACAAAACATAATCAAATTTTAGTTTATTGGAACTCAACATCACCTTATTTATTATACCATACAAGTACCATATACATATAAAATTGAAATCGGAATTCACTTTATGGCTATAAGAATCATGTTTTATCAATCTGTGAATTATCCTCAATATACAGATTACCTAATCGTTTTTACCTGCCTTTTAACCTCTGCAACTTTTCTATAGAAAACAATCGAACTAATATTATCTCATACCGTCAAGGCAGCGTTGGTAAGAAGAATTGCAAAATTGGTCTCCACGAAAATACCATTGTTTTAAGCCCTGAAGGTTCAAACTGATTATTTATTAGTGAAAGTATTTTTGAAATAAAATTAGTGGTTTCGGAGATTAACTATTACATCCAAATCCCAAACTTAGAAATTTTTGTGTAGATTACATTATATGTACATCCTCATTTGATACTTAAGATGTTGTTTTTATTTTCTGCACCTACCTAAGCACATTTACAATTCATTCTTCAAGTTTGCACCACTAGAATCAGAAAAACATATCTCTTTCTTTCTAACCAATCACGAAATATATCGGTGGGTACATGTGGGTCAGTATTATGAGAAAAATTTAAGACAACGAAAAAGTTCGTCATGACACCGTCCATATGACTAAAAGTACAGTAAAATCGTTGATATCCTTAAATTCATGCAGCAAGGTAGGCGGTTATCTCAGCGGTAAAAAGATCGCCTGCCACACTGCCGACCCGAATTAAATTGTCGATCTTACGATTCGATAAAATAATGATAATTGATCGACCAGCGATACAGGGCTCCGGATGATGTAAATGAATTATCAAAATGAATTTTAGGAATTTGAAAGGAATACCATTATAGGGAATTACATAAAATGTCCTATAATCGATGAATTATTAATAATTAAAGATGTTAATGGTTAGAGCGAATTCTGACGCGTGATAATAATTATAAATGTTTTTAGAAATTAAAATATGTAATTACCTGACTAACATCTATTATTCATTATTTTCCAACTATAATCCTAGGTATAATTAATAAAAATAGTGATTTGATTTTGTTTTTTATGTTTCTGCACTGCTACACCACTTTATAATATCAAATAGACAAACGAAGTAGTTAGGAATTTTCAGTTTTTATTAGGTACTCAAAGAAACTATTTAATAGTAGTAGTATTAGAGAAGACTTTTTACTAAAACTAATATAAAGTAGGTACGATTGGTTTTGATTTGCTTGATTTCTTTGGGTTATGATTTTGATTGTGTTTTCGTTATTATAGACATACTTATACATACATATACAGGT